GCTGGGGATATAGACTGATCTTAGTAGCTGTTGGTAGGATAAGCCTCACAAATTTTCCTTTGTCTCAACCTGACCCAGCTCTTGAGTTTAAACCCAAAGCTTTTAGCTGGACACCTCTAGAATGGCTGATTATTTTTAGGATGTAGGAGAAAGAGTGCATAATGTGATTGTTTCTATGAACAGAGCATAGTTAATTATTTTTTTGCTTTGGAGAGAAAACTAAATTATCAAAGAACTTAAGGTCCTGTGGTACTATATGTGGACTTAACCATAAGACTGAAGATATTTTTGAAAAGGAGAAACAAAATCTAAAAGCAGAAAATAGATTTTCTTGTCTCTGAGAGGATAATGGAATTTAAAATAATATAGTTCTTTTTCATTAATATTTTTATAAATGCTTGTGGTGTCTAATAACTAGGGCATTTGCCTTGAAAACCATTTATTCTTCAAATCAAGATACATCTGATTTACTGATTGCAGTATCCAGACTTTTTGTAATGTGATGTATTTGACTTGAACAAATAAAATAAAATACAATTGCATTGTCTATGTGCTTCATGTAATGAGCACATGACTCATAAGTCTGAAAATGTCTCTGGGTTTCTAATGTGATTACTGTGAGTTGTAAAAGTGGATGAGAGAAACTAGTTTCCCAAGTTAGGGTGTCTATTTGCTATCTACTGGAATCTATGACACTTTAGAGTAAGACAGTCATCAGCTAGAAAGAAATTATTACTGTTGACTCATCAATGCACATTCTCTACACTAATTATAGTGCCTCAGTTTACCTATTTTATAAGATGAAATTGTCACCCGCCTGCTTCTCTGTAGTATTTGGAAAGTCCAGAGAGATAATAGTATTTGAGTGCTTTGAAAATACAGAAGACATTATAAATGCTAAATAATAACAACAATAATAATAGGGAATCTTTAATAAGGGGTCCTTTAATGATACGCATTGAATATAATAACATTACTAACCAGTAGGAACTAGACAGAGTGCGTCTCTGTCTTCTTAATCACTAGTTTGTCTCATGGGAAATTGGTGGGAGATTGGCACTCATTCACGTTGGGTATGATGCCCCAGGAGGCAGAGCCCCTCATAAGGCCTGCAGCACCTGGCCACTCCTGGACCTCCCAACTAACACTTAGTTGCCTTTCGAAGGCGTGCCTATGTAATTGGGAGACAGGGGACAGAGGTACCACAGCCCAACTCCTATAGCCAGGGAACATGATTTTAAAATTCCAGTTCCTAGCTGGTTGGGAAAAGAGAAAGGTGCTTGGGACCCAAGAAAGTTATGGGTATGCTGCTCTGGCTAAAGGCCAGTGTGGTCACCCAATCTTGCCACAAGATGGCGACAATCCAGCTGGAAACGCCTGCTGGGGGTGACTCGGACGGTTTCCAGCTGGGGAAGTACTTCCTCCTGCAGACACAAAGAAGGGATCCTCTAGCCCGGGAAGAGGCGTCTGGTTGCATTTCCAGCAAGGGATGGGGAGAGGCCGGGACAAAGGCTGCCAGGAGAAGTGGACAGCTTCCTTCTTACTCTTGTGGGCTTCAACTTCAGGGGGTTGAAATCCTTTCTGAGATTTTGTGCAAAAAAGCACTTCAAAAATTCCAGGTTTGGTCCCTCCCACTGCCCAGAAGCTGGCCAGATGCTTCCCGGGGCGGCTGCATTCTCGGGATTCCGGCCGCGGGAGCGGGTGCTTTCCGAGGCGGGGCGCGGATCGAGCCCAGCGCGCGTTCTCGAGAGCGGTGGACGTGTCTGGGCCAGTGGTTGCGATCCGGGCTGGGCAGGGCGAATCCCGCCAGTTAGCCTTAACTTTGAAGCCCAGGTGCCTATGGGATTCGGGCTCCCAGGCCAGAGGACCCGAGACTGCGGCGTCTCGAGGCTCCGAGTTGGGGAAGCACTACAAAGGCGCGCCCTCCTCCCCTGCTCCGGGCGTCTGGGAAAAGGTCCGAAGCCGTGGTGGCTTGGGGCGGGGGCTCTTTGTTTTCTTTTCTTTTGTTTTCGTTTTGAATGTAAGGAACCGCCACACCCTCGCTTATTTCAGATTCTATTAAATTTGCTTTGAAACAGAGGCGCTGGGAAACTCACCGATTCTCATCTTCCAGGTTCCAAGTGCGGTTTATAGGGCCCTCCTGGACAGCAGAACCTGGGCCTAGGCCAGCCAGGCCTACATTATCCAACCTTTGACCTGAGTGTGGCAGCCTTGGGCAGATCCCTGCTCTTACAGCTTGGACTTGGCCTGCACTGGGGGACTGGGGACGGAATCCCAGAATGACAGGACTCTGGTCTCAGCTGGCTAATTATCTGCCCACCTATTTGGAGTGTGGAATAAGTGTAAAAAGAGCAAAGACCATGGATCCAACGTGTGCCAGACATGATTACTTCATTTAACCCGTACACACCTTTATTATCTCCATTTTATAGATGAGAAAACCAAGGGTTAGTTAGAAATATTGAGTCATTTGCCCGAGGTCATTCAACTCTTACATAGTGTGGCTAGGATTTGAATCCAGATCTGCATTTCTCCAAATCGTGGGACTGTAATGCCTTTGTAGGTAGCTCCTGCAACCCCACTAGGCCCCATTGTGAGTCAACTGGGTGAAATATGGAAATATACCTGGCACCAAGAGTGAGTTTAAACAACCAAGTTTAAACTAGTCAAGATTATTTTGGTCTCTTCTTGCCTTTAAATGTGGGCTGGAGAACGGGGCTGGTATAGCTTGCTTTCTTTCCTTTCTTGAACAATTATTTATGGAGTGTATGTTATATTCCAAGGACTTTTCTAGGCACTGGGAAATTCCAGGGAACAAGATAGACTACACTTATTAGCTGTGTGACCAGACGAGTGTGTCACTTATTGAGCTAGTTATTAAGCTAGTGAATGTCACCCCAATCCACCTTCTGTATTGGACTTTGAGATGCTGGGGCTAGGACTCTGCAAACCGGTTCTCCTTTGGCAGAGGAAAGAGGAGGACCACTGGCCTCCAGTTTTCCTCAGCACTTGTGGTCTGGTGTCATTGTGCTCCCTCAAATGTGTCAGCACAGTGGTGGGGGCAGCTACCCGTCTTCTGCAGCCTGCAGAAGACAGGCCTCTGGTCTCAGCTAGCCATTTCTGGCCCCATTTCTGGGCTCCTAGCTTTTCATAGCCCAATCTCTTCCTTTTGTTTCCCAGCCCTGGAGTGGGAGCTGGTTTCTCCAGTGATTATCTCTGTGTTCCCTTTATTTTAGTCCCCCAATATCTATAACCAATGGTGTGCTAGTAAACATTTAACCAGGTCTCAAGAAAAACAAACAAAACACCAGAAAGAAACTTAATATGTAATATTTGCCAACTTCCATAATATAAATAATTTGCCATATTTTATTTTAGTGGTGCTAAGAGTTGAACCCAGCATCTCTCACACGGTACTTTACCACTGAGCTACATCCCCAGCCACTGTAGATAATTTGAAACTACCAAGATGATATCCTTGAGCTTCACAAGCTGTTAAGAATGTATCGAGTACACAAATGATGGAAACCAATCCTCTATATGAAAATCTCTCTGTTGAAATACATAGTTTGGTTTCTATTTTCATGACTGGAGTGTGACTGATAAAACTTAAGTTTCAGGGTGTCTGGTTTTTTAGCAATAAAATGTGTTATGCTCGAATTCGGGACCTCCAAAAGACCATCAGAGACCAAGATCGATGTAAGAAGCAAAGAGGTGTTTATTGCGAGCTAGTTCGGTCCTCCACACGCACACAGCATCAGGTGACTCTGAGAGGCCCCGAGCCCAGGGTTTGCAGCAGTTTTATACACTCTTTGGGGAAGGCAGGGACTTCACATACATCATAGCATTTCTTAGCAAATCATTACACACCGCAGGAAAATCTTAAAACAACTCTAAAACATGATTAGCACAGTCACTGATGGGAACAAGTTGGGTAAGGGTGATTGGCTAGTACAAGAGAGGGATTCTTTTGAACTGGTTGGTTTAAGCCATGAGGGGAGTACTTGCTGCACTACATGGTTTCCCAACAAGATATCAACCACCATAAACTACTGGGAGGGTCATCTGGCATCCCAGGTATTTCTCTATCTCATGCTGATTGGTGGCTGCTAGGGGGCTGCTAAGGGTCCCCACCTAGCCTGACTGAGTCAGGGACACCTGGCTTCTCAGATCTCTCGTTATTTGTAGATAAACAACTCAGCAGGGTGGGTATGTGCCTAGGAGTGCTCTGTGGGTCTTTCCAAGGACAAGGGTCACGCCCCCTTCCTTGGACTGGCTTTGCTCTGAGATAGAGGTTGGTTTTTCAAGGCAGTCAGTATAGACAGGTAAATCGAGTCAGGTCAGATGGAGAAGGCCAGAGTTTGTCCCGCCAGTTGGAGACTGTCCCCAGAGGGATTGAAATGTTAATTTCTTCAGAGTCCTTTCTCTACCCTTATCAAAAACCTCACCCCCCAACCTGTTGCCAAGGTAACCTGTCCCAGGAATTGCCCCTCCCTACACAGGGAACTATAAGGTTGTTGAAGGGTCCTTGGCTGCTCCATCCTGCCCTTCCCCCTTCAGCGCACCTGTTTCCCTTTTGGCCACCCCACAGCGCATTCCTGGAGAAAGATAAGGGGAAGAGAGCAGGAGAACAAAGGAAGCCTAGGACATACAAAAAGGCATACCAAGATACCAGATAAAACCCCCTTCTCCCTCCCAGGAGAAGTCTATGTTACCCCTTTTTGTAAACCCTGCTTTATATGCTCGCCTCGGCATACTTCTCTAATGTTCAAACTTCAACATGTGGAGAAGCAGGACTTGGCACTGATAACCTGCGGTATCACTAAGATGATGAAAGTAGGTGAAGTATTTTAATAATAGTTCACAGAGGTGTTCCAGAGGCCTTTATAACCCAGGGGGACCTCAGAGCAGGAGTGGAGCCTGGTGACTCTGAATCAGAGAAGGAGTCATGTCAGTGACTGGGTTGTGAGGTCACAATGTGCATCTAGATACCTTGCTCATCAAGGATTCCAGGACTGAATATTGTGCAAACCGAGAAAACACCCAAACCCAAGGGGCAAACAATTTATTATATTCAGCTAATATGATAGGTGGGGCAGGGTTAGACTTTTACTCATTCCTTTATTCAGTTGTACCAAGAAAAGAAAACTCAGCCCCCCCCCATTGATTTAATCTTCCCCTCCCAAACTACCGAGTAGTGAGAGAAGGAAACAATCTTTAAATTTGCAAGTCATCAGGATTTCCATTTCTACTATTGAAATAATTTTTTTTTGAATGGCCCAGAATTTGCATAAATTCTTAGTCTTCTCATTTCCTCTGCCTGCTCCTTTCCTCGATGACCCTGAGGTATGTGGGAATGTATATAACCAATTGGCAGAGGGGTTATCAGATCCACAGGGCCTCTGTGACAGGCCTCATCTAGTCTTTTTTCGCTTCCTGGCATGCATACCTGGATCCTGGCACTGGCACCGAACCACCTCTGTCTCCATCTGGCTCTACCCATCTCTCCTTCCCTATGGAACTACATCTTGGGAAAGAACAATTCTCACCATTGCCGCTTTATCCTGGGGGGCACAGACTAGAAGAAACTCTGGTCTGTGTGGATATGGGGAGCATCCATTAAACTAGGAGCTATGGATACAGAGAATGCAAGTTTATTGGTTTATTACTCTCAAAATATTGTCCCCATTATGTATATACATATATAAATAAATATAATATATATTATACATACATATAATATGTATATTTTAACACCACATTCAACAGAGATAGAACACAAGAAGGTATATATTTAGAGTTTAAAAATATAATTGGTTCCTTTGCTTACCAAAGTTATTTTTCATGCTTATTGTAAAACAAATAAATAAAACAACCTAAAAGTATATTTTTCAATGTCCAATGAAGGGAGGAGCACTCCTCTGTTCTCTTGGTTTAGCCAAAAACATACAGCTTCCAAAAATATTCTTCCTTTGGAAGGGTGCCAGGCTTCTTTCAGGGGCTAACTAGGCATTATCTCTAGTAAGACACTAGGATTCTTCTTACTTTTGAAAGTCAGGTCTCAGCAAGGACATTTTCCATTGAGTTTGGAAAGTATGAATTAGAGAAAAAGAACAAGGCCTGGGGACCAGGCTGGAAGATGGGATGTATATAGGGGGAGGGGGTGGGCAGTTAAGGATAAAAAGTGCAATAGAAGATGTGTTTCTGGAGCTGGTCTTCCATTGGATTTCCAACGGTGCTTCTGCCATGCCTTCCTTTATGTGTTCCCAGGGGACTCTAGTTTGAGTATATTCTGCAGTGATTGATGATGTTTATAGAATGGTGTGAAGACATAGGCACAGTGGCGTCCTTTCTCTGTTACAATATGCTAAGAATAGGATGGGTTGCTGGATCCCAATATAATACAAGTAGTTTGATGAGCTCTGTGTGCTTTCTCTCACTCTTCCATTTGATCCTTCCAATAGCCCATGTGGTGGAAAATTCTATTTAATAAACGAGGAAATGGAGGCATAAGGTTTTGATTTAACATCTGAGCAGCCATCTTAAATGGTAAGGGCTATCTTATGAGATAAGGTTCGATTTCCTGTACTTCCTCTTACCCAAACTATCCCAATCCCCATTAGTGACCCACCCCTTAGTACCATAACCCTAAGCCAATCCCATGCTTTCCCACCCACCTTGCTCTGATGCAAGCACCTCCCCCTATCCCATAGCACCACAGCTACATCTCCAAACCCCTACCCCAGAAAAGCTGAACACCTGAATATCTTGGGGCCTCTGTCCACTCTATAGAAAGATGAGCTTTATTTGTCAGCTTTGACCAATAAAGCTTTGTGTGGATCTCTGCTTGGTTTCCGTCCTTCATTTCTTACTCACCGGTCTCTTGGTTTCTCACTTTTTTTTCAGGAGGCCAATAGCAGTTGAAATGACCATCCTTGGATCTCACAGAAAGTAAAAAGTAGAACTAAGACCACTCTCAGCTCACCTAATTCTCAGCCCAGGACTCTTCTCCATAACAAGTTTACCCTATAATGCAAGTGATGAAGAACCAACCTACTTTCCCTCTGTTTCTTTTGGAGATTGGGTATTCCAGATGAGAACTCAGGATGGCTGCTCTGCCCCAAAGTCATAAACAGTGTAGAAATCACAGTTACCAAATATCTAGGGTAGTCTACGCAAAGAAGAGGTATAGTCAAAGCACCCAAGTTTAAAATCCATACTTTGAGGAACTGCAATCAGTCCACTGTAGCCAGAGTTCAGGGTCATGCAGACGAGGCAGGAGTCAATTCATAAAGGGCTTTCTACATCATGGTATAGACTATATTATATTTGTGATTTGTCAGTGCCTCTTTCTGTGGGAACATTATGCAACCCTGCCCTGTGAAAATCCAATGTGACCACGTGACTTGTTCTGGTCCATGACATGACATGGAAGTTGGTATAAGAAAGATGGGAGTCAATGGATTAAGAGAGAGAGAAAAGAAAAAAAAAAAGGTTTAGATTTTATGATTTAATTCATCCAAACTTTCATCCAATAAGTGTGCATTGAGTTTTTATTTGTGTTCAGTATTGTTCTAAGAAAACTGAGGAATATAGGAGCAGGAAAAAACACAATTTCTTCCCAGGAAGAGTTCTATCTAAATGGAAATATAAAGTGAACATACAAGAAACAAATAGAGAATAAAACAAAATACTATATCCAGATACTAAGCTCACTGGCAAGTGGCACAATGGAGACAATACTGGTGTGGATGTCAGAAGATTCTGCATTTTTGGTGGGAATATACAATGATTCAGTTGTTGTGGAAAACAGTGCATGGATTCTTAAAAAATTAGAAGTAGAACTGCCATATAATTCAGCAATTGGAATATATCCAAGGGAGTTGAAATTAAAAGTAGTCTTGAAGAGATAGCTATACACCCATGTTCATAGCAGTATCATTCACAGTAGCCAAAAAGTGGGAGAAATCAAGCATCCACTGATGGAAAAGTGTATACACAAAGCTTACATAATGGAATATTGTTCGGTTTTTAAAAGGAAAGAAATTCTCATATAAGCTACAACATGGATGAAACTTGAGGACACTATGCTAAGTGAAATAAGCCAACCACCAAATGACCAATTCTTTGGAATCCCACTTATATGAAGCACCTAGATCAGATTCATAGAGATAGAAGACAGAATGGTAGTTGCCTAGAGCTGGTGGGAGGAAGGATTTGGTGGGGGCAGATCTCATTTAATGGTTTTGCAAGATGAAAAGAATTCTGGAGATTGGTTGTTCACCAGTGTGAATGTCCTTAACACTATTGAACCATACACTTTAAAATGACTAGGATGATAAATTTTATGTTATATGTGTCTTAATAGTATCAAATAAATAAATTAGATATTTAAAAATCATACAAAGGTTCAAAAGCCTCTGGGTTTTGTTCAATCAATGAAAAAAAAAAAACACCTGAGATCAGACTAACAAATATTATTTAGGTTTTGCTTTACTTTGTTTTGTGGTACTGGGGATTGAACCCAGGGCTCCAAGCATGTTTGGGAAGTACTCTATTACAGAGCCATTTCCAGCCCTAATTAAGGTTTTTTGTTTTTTTTTTTTCCAACCACAGAACATTTTGCTGGACTCTGGATTTGCCTAGGGTAAAGGAATATGATCATCCATATTAAGTTCTCAATGTTGAATGTTTATGATCCCTTAAATTCTTATGCTAAAGTCCTAAACCACTAGAGATGAGGCTTTTGAGATTCATTAGGTCATGAGGATGGAGCTTTCATCAATGAGATCGGTTTTCTAGGCAAGAGATCTCAGACAGCTAGCACATTTGTAAACCTAGCAAATCTGGAGGCTGAGGCAGGAGGATTGCAAGTTCAAGGCCAGCCTTAGCAACTTAGTGAGGCCTTATCTCTAAATTAAAAAAATAAAAGGGGCTAGGAGATACAGCTCAGAGGTAGAACACTGGTCTAGCATATGTGAGGCCTTGGTTTCAATCTCCAACATTAGAGAGAATAAAATCCACCCTAGGATGAGAAAAGGAATTAACCAGATTTAGGACACTTTCCCCAAACCTCCCCATTCCTCTGTATGGTTTTTAAAACAATTTATGAATGAGTCATAATAGTCAGTTGAGCTAAAGTATAACCACCACCAACAGCAACCATAAAAATATTTGTAAACTTGAGAACCAGAGTGGTGGGGTGGGAGATAGAAATAGAAGGAATGCTATCAAATAGTATGACTTGATTTCTTCCCTCCATAAGAAACCAGAATATTTGGGCTGGAGTTGTAGCTCAGTGGTAGAGTACTTGCCTAGCATGTTCCAGGCCCTGGGTCTGATACTCAGTATCACATAAAATAAAGATATTGTGTCCAACTACAATTACAAAAGAAAGAAAGAAAGAAACTAGAATATTAAATTTCTTTCTTTCTTTCTTTCTTTTTTTTAAGAAGTTAGTCTTCTTGGAAGCATTTGCCATTCATTCCAAAGATTCTATGTTTGAGTCCAGCGATCTTGGAACTCTTATTCAGGACGTCTTTCAAATGCTGTGGCATTTGCTTTTTAATTCTTTCAACATTGGCAAACCTGCATCCCTTGGAGGTCACCTTGAGTTTCAGCAAGTGTGCTGGAATTGCGCAGTGTCATCTTACCAACCTGAATGCCCTTTCCTGTATAGTCCGAGGTTAGAGGGGGTCATGAGAAATTTGCAGGCAGGATTTGGAAGGTAGATTTGTATGAGCAGCATAAGGCTCTGACTGGTGCTGGTGCTGGCGCCAGCTGTGATATAACTGGTGCACACTGTCATTGGCCCCCTTGGGAGTCTGGGGCTCAAGGAACAGCCACTGCTTCACCTGCTGCAGCTTCTCAGACTCCAAGGTGACACAGGTGCAGCCCCACAGCCAAGATGCTTCCACAGGTCAAACACATCAAGGATGGAGGCAGTGAGAGA